CGAAATGGGCGGAGCCGGAGCCGACGACAACACGTGTCAACGCGATAACGATGAAGAGGGCGATAAAACGGGGAGCGCAGGGCTACGCCGTACAGCTGTACGAGGTGGTGGCTTCCGAAAAAATCGCCGACATCGACACGCTCTGCGCTGCTGTACCCAACGACGTGGTGAGCATAATTCGGAGGTACCCCGAAATATTCGCGGATGACCTACCTGATGGGCTGCCACCTCAGCGTCCGGAAGACCACAGGATCGAGCTGGAGCCAGTCGCGAAACCAACCGTTCGGTCCCAATGGCGGCTCAGCCAACCGGAGCTCGACGAATTGCAGAAACAGTTGGATTATCTGCTTTCTAAGGGTTTTATCCGGCCGAGCACGTCGCCGTACGCCGCCCCGATACTATTCACACCGAAGAAGGACGGAGGCCTGCGCATGTGCATCGACTATCGAGCGTTGAATCGGGTCACAATCAAGTCGCGTTACCCGATCCCACGAACAGACAACCTGCTGGATCAACTTCGCGGGGCTCGTTTCTTCTCGAAAATCGATTTGCAAGGTGGCTACCATCAAATTCGGGTGTTCGCCGACGACTGCCCGAAGACCGCATTCCGAACCCGCTACGGCAGTTATGAGTACACCGTGATGCCGTTCGGGCTGACGAACACACCCTCGACGTTCCAGCTCACTATGAATGGGGTGTTTCGCGACATGTTGGATAAAAAAATTATCGTTTACCTGGACGACATCCTGGTGTACAGCAGGACACGGGAGCAGCATTTACAGGATTTGGACGAAGTGTTCCGGCGCTTGCAGCAGAACCGGCTGATTACGAAGGGCTCTAAGTGCAAGTTCTTACGGTCGGAGTTGGAATTTCTAGGGCACGTCGTCTCTGGGGAAGGCATTAAAATCGACCCTCGAAAAATAAAAGCGATTTCGGAGTGGATGCCGCCCACGAACATCACTGAGTTGCAGAGTTTCCTCGGCTTCGTTAACTACGTCCACCGTTTTGTACCCAATATGGCGGGGGTAACCAGGCCGTTAACCGATCTCCTGCATAAGGGCGTGCAGTTTCTTTGGGGGGAGAGAGAACAGCTGGCTTTCAACGAGCTGAAGAAAATTTTGAGTTCACCCCCGGTGCTTCGACTGGCAGATCCATCTCGACCGTTCGAAGTCATGACGGACGCCAGCGATTTCGCTGTCGGCGCTGTGCTACTACAGGACTTCGGCGACGGACTGCAACCCATCGCGTACGAGTCAAGAAAAATGCAGCCGCCCGAGCGCAACTACCCGGTTTACGATAAGGAAATGCTCGCCATCGTGCATGCGTTTCGAACATGGCGATGCTACCTCACGGGAGCGGATGTCACAATCCGAACTGACCACAAATCACTACAGTACATGCGCAGCCAACCACAGCTCAACCCACGACAAATCCGGTGGATCGACTACCTCGAATCGAATTTCCGCTACACCATCACATGTAAAAAGGGCGCCAACAACATCGCCGACGCCCTGACCCGCGTATCCATGCAGACCGCAGCAGTACTAATCGCCCATTCCAACCCTTTATTGACATGATTATTCAAGCACGGCTACAGGATCGACAGATTTTTCAGGACCAGTCAACACCGCGGGGTCACTACACCGCATGGAAGTTACTACCTAAAAGTCGGTACCAACCGAGTTTGGGTACCTTCCTACCGACCCTTACGCGAATTGCTGACGCAAGAAGTACACGATTCCAACCTCTCCGGGCATTTCGGCGTCGACAAAACATTGAAGCTGCTGCAGCGGAACTACTACTGGCCCGACATGGCGTCGGACGTGCAGCGCTATGTGTCCGCCTGCCCGACCTGCCAGGCAATGAAGTCATCACGACAACGACCAGCTGGCTTACTGCAGCCCCTCGAGCCACCCGAACGATCGTGACAACAGGTGACTATGGATTTCGTCACGGGCCTTCCAGCTGGCGCAAGTGGCAACGACTCCGTGCTCGTCGTCGTTGATCGCTTAACGAAAATGGCGCATTTTCGCGCCCTGCCGTACAACGATCACAGCCGAAGAAACAGCACGACTCTTCATCTCAACCGTCGTACGCCTCCACGGGTTACCTTCGGCGATCATCAGCGATCGAGATCCGAAATTCACGTCGAAATTTTGGCAGGAGACATGGGCACAGTACGGCACCCGCCTGCAATTTTCGTCGTCCTACCACCCGCAAACCGACGGACAGACAGAGAGGACAAACCAAACGATGGAGCAGCTGATTCGCACGAACTGCCCGGACATCACCAAGTGGGAAGATTCTCTTCCCATGCTCGAATTTGCGTACAACAACGCCCCATCGGCAACGACCAAGCAATCACCATTCTACCTGAATTACGGGATAGACCCGGTGGTACCCTCATCGACCACTCCCGACAACCCTGTTGAGTTGAGAGAGGAATGAATGGACTATGAAATGAAACGAGTACAAGTACCAACCCTAATTGGGTTGTACCCCCTATGGGCTACCCCACTACAGCCTAAATATATGCATCAGCAATATAATCATCTGACAAACCCGGTACCCAGGTCACAGCAGTTTATTTCGGAACTCCAGGACGCGCGTGCCAAGGCAGCTGACTTTATCCGAAAAGCGAATTCGACCGCCAGCCGCTACGCTGACCAACATCGACGGAATTTACCCTTCCGCGAGGGGCAGATGGTTCTCCTGGACACAAAAAACCTCAGACTGCCCCAGCCCGCAAAACTGCGTCCTCGATACGTGGGACCTTTTCGCATCATTCGAATGCTGACACCGGTCACTGCGAAGCTTCTCCTCCCGGACGACTGGCATATCTACGACGCTTTCCACGTCAGTTTACTTCGCCACTACGTGGCACCCCAGTCCTCCGACGTCGCTCGACCCCACCAGACGCCCAGTGTCCGACCGGTAGCAGGTCCCACGCTCCAGCCCTGGAAGATATTGAATCATCGCATTCGTGCGACCCCAGCCGGCCGCCACGTTGATTTTCTACTTCGTTGGGTGGATCGCACAAGTGACGACGACACATGGATCCCGGCTGACTCACTACAAGGGCACTCGGTACTCCGGCAGTATCTTTCTCGCCGACACGTACCTGATATTGACCACCTTTCTTGAAGGGGGGGGTAGTGTAAGGAAAGGAAATTTCCTAATTCCTTACTGAGGCACCGCTTACGCGTACATTTCCAACTTTCGGAGTTCAGGCTCGGTCCGACGACCTCGCCTCCCGAACGTCTTCCGCGTCGCCTTCGGGTTTTCCCAAACCCAAACCTACACCCAACCTCGCACGACTTCGCGACCTCAGGCTTAGCTAGCCTTGCTATATTATGCCTAGGCCCCGATGTTTGCTGAGTAGTTGTAATCACTTCCGCGATATTGCATTCTGCGCACTCTTCTTTCATAGAACTCATAACAGTAATGTTGCTTCGCAACCCTAAGACGATTTCGCCGAATATATCTCAGCGGACAAGCGAGTCCGCCCGAAGGAGCTCGCTGCCCGCGGGCAAAAAAATTAAACCCCATTCGGGCATGCATCCGGTCAGGGAGGCATCAACCCTAAACACAGGGAGGCGTGGATTTAGGGTTGATGCCTCCCTCGGATGGCATGCCATCCGATAGGGTTTTAGTTTTTTCCTGCCCAGGGCAGCATGCCGTCAAGTCGTCAGATGGTCGTCAGGCCTGACGACCTGTTTCCGCTGAGATATTCCGTCGCCTCTTGTTGTTTCAACACCCACGTCTTCCAATCTGTAAACGTAGAAAGTTTACCCTCCTCATTCTCCCTCACCGCCAGGTCGTTCATTCTTTCTTGTGCTTCGCAGAAAGGAGACGCAAGCCACTACAGACACTTTCTTTGTTTTTCAGAAACTCACGAGGTTTTGGGAGTTTTAGCCGCAAAACTCTCCCGTCCATCCGTCTGCTCTACCGCCCACCAGACAACAACCAGCAGGGAGAGGCGAGCACGACAAGCCAGCCAGCAAGTGGACAGATAAAGTGACGCCAAAGCAAACCCGCAATCTCCCCACCCACCACCACCCACTCGTGCTTTCTGTTTGGATTCGCTTCACCACGCTCCTTCTACAGTATCCGCCCTTGCTTTCCCTCCCACTTCCTTTCCTCGCTCGCTTTCCACCCTCCCCATCTCATCCCATCTCATCCCATCTCATCCCGTCCCATCTCATCGTATCGCATCCAATCCTTTCTCGTTTCATCCCATCCCATTACATCCCATAACATTCCGCCACATCCCACCCTCCCCGCCAATCACATCTTCCTTCTCACCGACTCTCGGCTGCTGTCACCCACTCATCTGAAACCATCAGCTGACAATGTCGCGTCGCGTCGCTTCACCTACTTGATGGATGGCCACTGGCCAGCTAACTCGGCTAATCCTGCGTGCTTACTTACCGTCCCAACAGAGAGAGCGTCATTAATTTCTAGCCAGCACCAACCTACTCTTGACTTGGTGGCATAATCTAGCATACTAATAGCATCTCAACGAATTGGTGGCAAAAAAAAACAAAACGTTATTCCTTTCCGGTCGTCATCCATCAGATAACCGGACACTGATGGACGTAAACGAGCTTCCCCCTAAAGCCCAGCGAGACCTCCTTTCTCATCCGTCAACCCGACGCCTTCTAACCATGAACCTCGACGTCCAATGGGATCATCCCACGTGGTGGCACACCGAGAGAGGCATGGGTGCCGCCGCGTGTCCTTCCGTTCCAATTCCGACTCCGATCATCCCCGCTTGTCATGATCGCCACGCCGCCGCTGCCGCCGGGCGGCAACGGTCTCGCACGGCGCGCGTTGAATGCGACGCTGGTACTCCGCGGGAAGCCACGACGTCGCGGGGTACCAGTGATTGTGGCGAGTCGCGCTCGTTACAACCCCCGCGAATCCTATCTCGTCGGACTTCCGCCGCGCACGCGGAGCCAGGAAGACAATCGCGCCGCGGCAGCCGAAACCGCAGCGCGATGCTTCCTCTGATGTCCGCCGCGTCGCTGCTGCCGCACTCCCTCTCGTCCCGCTCGTACCTCTCGTGCCTTTCATTCCTGTCGTGCGTGTGCCTGTGGTGCTTATCGCGCGTATCGGCCGTGGGTGCGGTCGCGGCGGGCCCTACTAGGTCCGGCGCGCTACAGGGCTCCACGTTGCTCCTCCCCACCTCCTGCTTCCTCGCGCTCAAGGTACCGCCGCCCCGGCATTCCCTGTTGCTCGCTCTCCGCGCTTCTTCTCCCCCTCTCCCCTCCACCTCCCCCCTCCCTCTCTTCCCCACCCCATTCCCCCATCCCCCTCTCCTCCTTGCTAGAGCACCCCTCCTTCCCCCCACCCTTCTCTCTCTCACACACACACGCACGCCTCTCTTTGTAGACGTGAGTGTGCGTTGGGAGGGGAAAAGGTAGAAAAGGGGAGAATGCTTATATGGGTGCGTCCGTCCTGGTCTTTCTCACTCTTTCCCTGCGACGTCTCCACTACAACCCTCTATGAATTCTTCCTCCTTTCTTTCACTGCTTCACCGTCCTACGGTCCTACCTACCTCCTCCGCTTCCCCTCTCCCCTCCCTCCGTTCCCTCCCTTCCCCTCCACTCCCCTCCCCTCCCCTCCCGCCCCCGCTCCTCCCCGCCCGTCCCCGCTCCCCGTCTCCCCCTCTTCCCCCGTGCTGCGCCCGTCGCACTGTCCCGCTGTTCCCGTCCTGCACCCCCCGTCCTGCTCCTCCGGTCCCACCCCTCCTGTCCTGCTGCTCCCGTCGTGCAGGCGTGCGACTTCACCTTCAACGGGTCGCTGGGCTTCGTGCTGCTCTACCCACTCGAGGCCATGCAGCCTTTTGAGATGTCTCAATCGAAAAGCCCTCCCCCCTTCCCCGCGGTTACCCCGCACCGCACGGTGTGCAGGCGTGCGACTTTGCGTTCAACGGGTCGCTGGGCTTCGTGCCGCTCTACTCGCTCGAGGCCATGCAGCCCAACGCGCCCTTCTCCGACGGCGTGCTGCACTCGTGAGCACCACTAGCAGAAAACTCACGAGGAAAACCCTCCCAACCTAAGTTGCCTTGCTGCCACGTATCGACCGACCCTATGGCACCTAGCTGGTGTTCACCCCAACGCGCCCTTCTCCGACGGCGTCCTGCACTCGTAACCTCCGCCACCGCCCTCCGACCCCGCCCCCCGCCCCCCGCCCTCCGCCCTCCGCCCTCCGCCCCCCGCCCCCCGCCTTCCGCCCTCCGCCCTCCGCCCTCCGCCCCCCGCCCCCCGCCTTCCGCCCTCCGCCCTCCGCCCTCCGCTCTCCGCTCTCCGCCCTCCGCCCTCCGCCCCCCGCCCTCCCCCCCCCGCCCTCCGCCCTCCGTTGTTCCCATCCCACCACACAGCCGTGCCTCCGCCACGGTGCCACCCCCACCTGTGCCACCCTCTCTTCTTCCCCCCGCGCTCCTTTTCCCCGCCTCTCTTTCTCTGCTACCTAGTATTCACTAACTCCAACCTTATCCACCTCATAGCTTGTTTCACCATGCTGTTGGGATGGGTCAACCTTATCCGCCATGCTTCTGGCGAGCGCTTGGCGCTGCTGGCTGTCCTGTCCTCCTCATCCTCCTGCCTTGCTGTTTCTGCTGCTGCTGCTGTGCTGCATGCTCCTCCTGCGTGCTTGAGTGCTAATAAACTAATGCCCCCCGCCCTTAATGCCCCCCGCCGCGCTTCATCAGATCAGATGCAGCATATCATGCTCGTGTCCTCTTGTGTCACTGTGTTGCTTACTTTTGGGCTTCCGGCCTTGTGTGGGTCGTGGTTGTTTTCCGCCGTCTTTGCCTCTGCGCCTGCCCTCCTGCCCGCCTGCCCGCCTGCCTGCCTGCCTGCCTGCCCGCCTGCCTGCCTGCCTGCCTGCCCACCTGCCTGCCTGCCTGCCTGACTCCCTCCCTCCCTTACGCGCAGCAAGAAGGCAGCCCACGTGGTGTATGGCAAGCTGAAGGACCGATGCAACGTGGTCAACGCATGGAATGTGAGTGGTTTCGCAACTCAACAACACGTCCTTGCATGGAGGGAAAACTATAACTCGTCTGGTTTGGTCTCAAGCCCCTTGTCTGTATTTTATTATGTCGTCAATGCCCCTTGTCGTCAATGCCCCTTGTCGTCAATGCCCCTTGTCGTCAATGCCCCTTGTCGTCAATGCCCCTTGTCGTCAATGCCCCTTGTCGTCAATGCCCCTTGTTGTCAATGCCCCTTGTCGTCAATGCCCTACCACTGCAGCAAGGAATGCACTGGTATCCAGCAGCATAGATAGACCCCACTTTGCATCCCCCCCCTTGGCATCCATCCACCCGCCACACGCCCTACTCCCTGCGTTCGTGTCCCCACCCTCCCCAGCTCTTCAACCTCTGAAGTCCGGGTCTCCCATTGTCTGCTCTTCACAATGGTCCACTCTCCAACTCTTCCCCTCCCCCTCTCCCATTATCCCGCCCCCCCTCTCTCCCACTCTCTTCCTCTCCCGCTCTCTCGTTCCCTCCCATGCCGCCACACCTCCTCCGCGCCCTGAAGTAGACAAGCAGGCGAAGCTGCCTTTGAGAATTCTCAAAAGTCGCCTTTGAGAATTCTCAAAAACACCTCCTCCGCGCCCTGAAGCAGACGAAGCTGCCCAAGTGTCCGTCCGTCACAGGGTGGCACTATTCAGTCTGCTCAAAAGTCTTCTCCCCCCTCTCTTTCCCCCCCTTCACATTCTCCCCCTCTCCGCTTCCTTGCGGCAAACGAAGCTGCCCAAGTGTCCGTCCGTCACAGGGTGGCGCAATTCAGTCTGCTCAAAAGTCTTTTCCCCCCTTCTCTTTCTCCCCCTCTCCGCTTCCTGGGTGCAGAGGAAGCTGCCCAAGTGTCCGTCCTACACAGTGGTGCTACCCTCCAGCTCCTCAGACAGCCCCACCATCCGCCTCGCCACCGCTGCTCCCATCTCCAACACCCTCGTATGTGCCTCACCGCACCGCACCTCACCTCACCTCACCTCACCTTGGCCGTCCCTTTTTAGGAGCCTCAGAACTTTCTAGGCGGCTCAGACAGCCCCACCATCCTCATCGCAACTGCTGCTCCCATTGCCAACACCCTCGTACGTGTGTGTTGCCATTACCTGCTCCTGCTACTGCTCCTGCTCTAAGTTGGAATATACGCTCAGACCCTAAAGCGGACAGCGTTCATTTCGCCGAAGTCGAAATGCAATTCGACGGTATAGGGAAGCGGGAATGTGCCTTTGAAGATTGCAGGAGTTCAAAATTGAACATTCATTTAGTACCGCACTGAAACCCATCTCATCTACGAACTCCAACCTCTCAAAAATGTCCCCCAAAAAACCCCACTCACGCTATTTACCAGCCAGCAAAACTCCACTGGTCATTTCTACTTCACATTCCCGCTCGCGATCCTTCCGATTCCTACTAGCGATAGTGTCTACTCCACATCCCACCCCAATCGCCGTTCAGACTTCGTAAAATTCTACGAAAGTCTTAGTGAGAACAGGGAATACCTCCCCGATGTTGAGGACTGCGTTTTTCACCCTGCCCGGGAAAGCTTTTTTCCTGCCCAAAAAAGCGTATCCTCGATCAGACCCCTCCAGCGTATAGCGTGCAAATGCTAGCGTATATACCTAACGCGTAAGTACGCTAGACGCGTATATTCCAACTTCTGCTACTGCTGCTCCTGCTACTGCTGCTGCTGCTGCTGCTGCTGCTGCTGCTGCTGCTACTACTGCTGCTGCTGCTGCTGCTGCTGCTGCTGCTGCTGCTGCTGCTGCTGCTTCTGCTGCTGCTTCTGCTGCTGCTTCTGCTGCTGCTGCTTCTGCTGCTGCTTCTGCTGCTGCTTCTGCTGCTGCTGCTGCTGCTGCTGCTGCTGCTGCTGCTGCTGCTGCTGCTGCTGCTGCTGCTGCTGGTGCTGCTGCTGCTGCTGCTGCTGCTTCTGCTGCTGCTTCTGCTGCTGCTGCTGCTGCTGCTGCTGCTGCTGCTGCTGCTGCTGCTGCTGCTGCTGCTGCTGCTGCTGCTGCTGCTGCTGCTGCTGCTTCTGCTGCTGCTGCTGCTGCTGCTTCTGCTGCTGCTGCTGCTGCTGCTGCTGCTTCTGCTGCTTCTGCTGCTGCTGGTGGTGCTGCTGCTGCTGCTGCTGCTGCTGCTGCTGCTGCTGCTGCTGCCAACCGAACCGTGTCCTATGGAGCACACTCACCCCCAGACTCAGCACCCCCAGGCTCCGTACCCCCAGGCTCCGCACCCCCAGGCTCAGCACCCCCAGGCTCCGCATCCCCACGCTCCGCACCCCCAGGCTCAGCACCCCCAGACTCAACACCCCCAGACTCAGCACCCCCAGGCTCAGCACCCCTAGCAGCACCAGAGTCAACAGCTACCTCAACAGGCTTGACTGTGTCCACCTAGGACACACCTGACGGGGCAGGACCCTGAGGGGGAAGAGGGTCTACCGGGGGGTGACCTGGCGCAATGAAGAGCGACGACGGGGGGAGGGGCGCAGTGCGGTAGGGGAAGACACGGTAGTAAAGCACCGACTCGTCAAAGGTGACATCCTGGGAGGACAGAACACGGCGCGAGGTGGTGTGGTAAAACTGCCAACCAGGGGCGTCAGGAGGGAAGCCAAGGAAGACACAGGGATCAGCACGGGGGGACAGCTTGTCCGCAGACAAGTCGCGGACAAACGCCCGAGATCCCCAGACACGGAACGCAGAAGCATCGCCAACCTTCCCCGTCCACCGCAGGGTGGGGGAGGTCTCTGGCAAGGAGACTCAGGGCTGAAGGATGATCTGATGCGCTGCGTATTGAACCGCAAACGACCACAGAAAATGGGGAGCAACCGCATGAATCATAGACGTACGAGCGACGTCCATGACCATGCCAATGCGGCGCTCAGCAATCCCATTTTGCTGTGGAGAGGCCGGAAGCGTGAAGGTCTGGCGGATGCCTTGTGTGTGACAGAAGGCTCCCAGAAGAGCAGAGGAAAACTCCCCGCCTCTGTCAGAGTGCAAACGCAGAACAGGAAAGTCCGAGCCGAAACTCTCTCTGAGCTGGAGACGACCTGCGCGGATCTAGTCGATCAACACCTCAGTGACATCACCCTTGCTGCGCAAGTGGAACACCGTGGTGTAACGCGAGTAGTCGTCAACCACCAACATGAAGTAACACTCGTGACCCTTGCCATGGACGCGGGCGGGGCCCGACACGTCCATGTGAAGAGTCTGCAGCGGAGCCTCTGTCGGAGATAACTCAGAGGAGTGAGGGGCGACGCGCTGCCGCCCCTTGACGCAGGGAACGCAGGTAGGGGCAGGCCCCGGAGGGAGAGGAGGGAGGGACAGGGGAAGACCAGAGACAAGGTAACGGGAGGCCATGCCTCGGAGACGAGGCAGGGAGGGGTGACCAAGGCGGTGGTGCCAAAGGAGAGTCTGGTGGGATAGGAGAGGACACGAGCAGGGAGCAGACTCAGGACCAGACCTGGACACTTCAGCAAACACCTGACCCGACGGAGCTACCTGACTAGACTCAGCAAACGGAGGAGACTTAGTAGTCAGTGTGTACAGGCTCGACCCCGGTTGACGGGTAAACGTGGCCAAGTGTCGGCCCGTCCGAGCATACGTATAGTGGGTCACCCGCTGATTCGCAGGAGTGAACTGGTCAACCCCCCCATCCTGAACATCAGCTCCACTCACTAAGTTCGTAGAGAGCGAGGGGAGGTAGAGAACTGACAGGGTGCCAGAGGGGGCCGCTAGGCACGGTAAGATAGTGGAGAAGTGGGCAAGGACAGGACCCCCAGAGGGGTCCACCAAGGAGACTGCAACTGGCCGACTCAGCGGCGTGAGTGTGGTGCGGTCTCGAAAGAAGGAGCGGGAAGCACCCGAGTCAAGGGTGAAGGTGTGTAAGGCCCGAGCCGACGTGGTACCTGAGAGAGCAGACTCACTAGCACCTGGGGCAGCAGACTCACCAGCACCTGGAGCAGCAGACACACTAGCACCTAGAGCACCAGCCTCACCAGCACCTAGAGCAGCAGTCTCAATGCCCGGGTGAGGCGCAACACACAGGTAGCAGTCACCCTCATCACTAGTAGGCAATGCATACATGGCAGTGAGGATAGCATCATAGTCAAGAGTATAGATATCTACCCTCAGCCTAAGCGGCTCCACCCAGTCAGGGAGCTCAACCGCGTCGCCAAATTCCGTACGACAGGTGTCGCTCAGACCGGCGAAGCAGCGGGACTCTGCGTGACCAAACGTCCCGCAAGGCTGACCAGTCTGAGCACCAGTGCGAATGACGTACGGACAGCGAGCAGTACCCCGTGACCCGCCACACTGAGCCTACCACTCACGAAGCTGCTGGGGCAAAAGGACCGCGCACGGACGACGCTGTAGCTGCACCTGGACACGACAAGCAGCTGTCGAACTACTCACTCCAGGACGACTCCCACTACGGCCACCTTGACAACCCCTAGTAGCGTACCACTCACGTGTTGTCAGGATCCGTCACTTTGAGAGCTTACGACGAACACATTACTCAACTAAACGCAAATCCGCTTGGTAGGAACTTACGCCTTAGGGTTATCTACCATCTCCAAGTTGAATCAGTCGTTAAGATGGTCTAGAGAGTGAGAACCATATAAAAACGTCCAGCAGTCGCATAACTAGTATGGTGGACGAAGTACAAACATTAGGGCATAGGAAGTTGGAGTTGGGAACCTCCAAGAGAACCATGAGAGAGAAGGGGTTCTCCAAGAGCTAGGGAAAGATGGTAGGAACCTTCCTAGCAGCAAGGATGCAACCCTCATCATGAGGTACTTGAGATGTCATATGCAAAATCCAATCTAGTTGGATTTTGCCTAGGTGTTGCAACATTTGCAACCCGTACTAGAAACTTCTAGCCACCCCAATCCAAAAGTCAAAGTTGCCTTCCCCAACCACCCAACCAAAGATCCCTTTATAGTCATGTCCCAAGTAATCAACCAGATTAGATATATACTCAAATTGTAATAAGAAATCCAAGTCTTGGAAATCTTGTAACTTGGGCGATCTTGGCCGGAATAAGGTGATCTTGGTATCGTTGGAAACCTCTGGATTTCTTCTGCACGATCAAGCATTTAAACTTGCAGAAAAATACAGAGATGATAATATCCAACAGCCATGCACAATGACATATGCTCATGCAAATCATGCAAGCACAAATAGCACGAGCACTCGGCAGGACGTTAGGATGACATGCACTCAGAATGACGTGCATCCAACAAACTCCCCCTCAAACTAATGGATTGCATGCACACACATTCACACAAATGCAAACTCACATGCACACAATCACACATGCACTCACGACACTGCTGCCCACACTATTGCAATGCCATGCCACACATCTTAGCACACTTCCAATGTGCGCTCTCGGGAAGTCTGTTGGTGAGAAAATCTGCCGCCTGCTTGCTAGCCTTCACATGGTGAAGCTCAACAATCCCCTCCTTCACCATCTGCCTCACCCAGTGCCACTTAATCTTCATGTGCTTTTTCAGCCCATTCAGGATAGGATTATTGG